CTGGCAGGGGAGGGCAGTTGTAGGCAGTTGGGGGAACCAGGCCTGCTGGGGAGAGCAGTTGGGGGGGACTCAGACCTACAGAGGAGGGCAGTTGTGAGTGTTCAGGCCAACAGGGAAGGCAGTTAGGGGTGTCTGGACCAGCAGAAGAAGGCAGTTGGGGGAGACCAGGCCAGCAGGGAAAGACAGTTGTGGGGGAACCCAGGCCTGCAGGGGAGAGCAGTTAGTGGCAATCAGGCCAGCCAGGGAGCAGTTAGGTGTCGATCGGCTGATAGTGGAGTGGTTAGGGGATGATCAGGCTGGCAGGCAGAAGCAGTTAGGGGCAATCAGGCAAAGGCAGGTGAGTGGTTGGGAGCCAGCAGTTGGGACCCAGGAGGGAATTATAACAGCTTGTTTAGGCCCTATGGTATCAGGCCTAAATGGGCTGTTGAACATCCCTCAAGAGGTCCCAGATCAGAGAGGGTTCAGGCTAGGCTGAGAGACACCTCCTGCCCCGTGCACGAATTTCATGCACCGGGCCTTTTGTATTTTATAAGTAAAAATAGTCAAAATTTGTTGAATGCTTACCACGTATTAGCCACTCTGTTAAGATAAATATTCGAAGGCATATGGACATATTTTAATCTCATTCAACTCCCACAACAAGCCCTTGCAGTGGATATGACTACATTGACCATTTTACAGGGGAAGCTATCATCATATCACTGCCAAATAGGATACAGTGACTCAAATCAAGTCCCATTGTCCTCATAGTCCATGCTCTTGACCACTGGGCTATACTGTATTGCAGTTTTTCTTGAAATAAAGCTAATTTTATAAACACTTTTAAAAAGTTACTTCTGTTGCAAAAATGTTTTGACAGTTCTTATTTTAGGAGGAAGCAGAAATATGATAGCAAATAAAAATCAGGTTTCTACTCCATTTCATTCAATTCTGTTCTAAAGTAATGTGAAACACTACATGCACAACTGATAGATTTGGGCTGAGATGAACAAGATCATTTTTTTGGTGAAAGCTTTGGGGTTGTTGATTAAGTATTTTCTAGTTGAATCAGAATGCGAAAAAATAGTACACCCTGGGATAAGCCTTCTTCCCCTCTAGGATAAATGTTGCCTTTAAGAGGCACACCAGGATAATTCTATCAAAGATTAAGAGAAAGAGAATACTTCAGTAACATGATAAAACACTGAAATACTAACATTAAATATTAAAATAAAAAATTTTGTCCAAAAAGTTAGTGGTGAGCTCTATTAGTTTGCTCACCCAACAGATACACCTCCAACCTCTTCTTTTTCCTCGGGGTACAAACGCAGGTATTCATCATCCCCTATGCTAGGAAGAAAGCCCTTACGTTGGGAAGAAACCCCTAGTTGGGGATGAAGCAGAATTCTTCAAGCCAATCATGGTGGTCCCATTCTTTGCTAGTGGAACCTATTGCATACATGGCATATGACCCAAATCTAGCCCATGAAACCTGGAAGAGGAATGGATGCTGGAAGTCATGGATTTTCATCTCAGGATAGAGGAACATGGGAAGAAAGTCCCTCTTCCTTTCAAGATGTTGTCCTAGCTCCACAAGGTGCCTGTGTCCTATGGCCAGCTGAGATATCATTACCTGCAAGCTGGGGATGGCTAGCAGAAAGATGGATAGGACCAGGATCTTGAAGAGTGAATTAACTCATCTTGGCATCCTACCTTCAAATATACGATTATGTGCAATTAAAAAAATAAATCTTTACTATTTGAGCTTTCAACTCTGTCTTCTACTAATCTACAGCTAAAAACATTCTGATAGAAACAGCCCTTAACACCCCATTTCTGAAAAAGTCTTAAGTGGTAATTTTTAAATCATAACTATAGCAAATATAGTTATTAACTGTTAAACAGAGCTTTAGAAGGAGACTGTGAGAACCATTTTAAAAAGTGGATTTAGATGATTTCTTTGAGGAGCCCATCACACTCTAAAATCCTGTCCCATCAGGATGGTTTCTGCGAGAGAACCCCATACCACAGGTGGAATGTGGCGGAGCTTGTAAGCGAACACGAGGATGGGGTTTCAGGTCTCTAAAGCCGTTAGATCATGATGGTTCATATACTAATGAGAGTTGTTGTTCAGAAACTTAAGTAGACAAAGAGAACTACAATATTGGATCACATTTGTTTTTAATTTATAGTAAAAACAGATTCTATATTACTTTGTACCTCTATAAAATGTAGATCAAAACTACACTGCACATGTTCTCAAAGACACAGCTCATACACAGCTTATTTGAGATAAATATTGGTGCCAAACCCCACAACATAATTTTACCCCTCATTTCCCCCATACCCACTTTACAGTGTGAAGCTATTTAACACATTGGGTGGCTCCAAGATTATAGACCCACCAATGAAAAGATGTTGATTGTACGATGCAAGGAAATGTGGATTTCCTTTGAGTCTGAGTTTGTGTCCCATCTTGGTGGTTCATTTACAGCCATGTAAACCCTCAAAGAAGCCTTCCTGCTATCTCTCATTAGTAGGCTCTGCTTTTAGGTTACTTTGTTTAAGGTCCACATTTTAGGCATCCAAAGAGACTAGACATATCCTTAATTAAACATCTTATACCTGACAACATCTTTAGTCCATTGGATGGCTGAGTAAAAAGTTATTTGCTTTAAGTCAGCTACTGAAATCTGAAGACTTTGTGGTGAATAGTGAGTAGACAGAAGAGTAAAAATTGGACTCAGGTATAGAAACCAAAAAGCAGCGGGAAAATCACATGTGTTGCCTGCCCCTCCTTCCTCTTCTCTGGGTTGGTTCTGCTGTCATTTTCCTAATTCAGAATGTAGGAAAAGTTTGTTTGGAAGTCATTTGTACTGTAGAGCTGGACCGCTCCTCCAGGCAGGCTGGGAAATTTCCAAATTTGCTGGGCTAGTCAGCGGGGTGTTGGTGTTAGGAGCAACAAGATGGAATCTTTTCTTCAGAGCAGCCCCAAGGAGGAAGGGAAATCGTTGCTGCTTCACAGTGACCGTCAGAGAGAGTCATACCCTGTTGTTCATCAGAAAGCTTATAAAACTCAACTGATAGATTCTTGAGGAATGAGTATAAGGAAACCATGAATAAATTATCTTCCCATCTAAGAGAGGAAAAGATCAATGTACAGATCTGTTGCCCGTGGAAACCGAGGCTTTCCCTGGCTGTTGGAGAAGGGCTTTGGGGCCCAAACTGCTTCGATTCATAATGTAGGTCCAGCAACCATCACACCGAGTGCCAGGATTGAGATGCACATCATCCAACCATGCAAAGGCCAATTAAAGAAATGATTTCCAAGTGGCAAAGCCATTTTCCAAGCCACCTGCGGCACACTCGCATGCAGCATGAGAGGATGCTTTCACCTGGATCCCACGTCTCTGCCAAAAGCCTGGCATTCAGCAAGTGTCCAGAGCAGCAATAATACTCACCGGTGAAGCATGAAATAGGAGCGACAGGGAAAGTGACACCAGATCTCCATTGGGGAAATTGGAAAGCATTAACACGTCTGTGTACCTAACAGAACACAATTACTACATTTTATTTTGTTTCAACAGTCAGGGCCTAAATGAACATCACCATTCAGTTCTGTTCTGGGCAATGATCCAAGCTCATCTTGGTACAGTTGATTTTGAAGCCTTACAGTCAATCATATCTCCACAATTTGTTCTTTTTTCAGTCTTCAGGCATCCTCCTGATTTCCATTTCTTGTTTGGAAGCCTTGAGTCATCTGTTCTGGCAACATGACCAACCCAAATCAGTCATTTTCTCCAAATTATATTGAAATAGGGATCGTGCTAGTTTGTTTTCTTCCTCCTTTCTTTCACATAATTTTCCCTTTAAGGATCTCCTAATACAAAGCTGATTGAAGACATACAATATCCTCTTTCTTTTGCTGTTGTCAAATCCAAGTTTCTTACCCACATGCTGTAGCTCTGTAATTAAAACAGTGAGGGTGGCTCTCAGCCCTGGGTTATGAGTGCAAGGCTGCCATTGCTCCATGGATTATGTATCCCAGGGCAGAATTCTGACCCTGACACCAAACCTTTAGGGCATTATTCTGACATCATTTACACTGATTCACAAAATCCAAATGAAAGAGTGAGGTTTCATGCTCTGTTATTTGAATTATGTAGAATCTGCAATCCAAAACTCTCAAAATTATATGCATCTTCAGGCCATTTTCATTTAGGTAAAGAAGAGAGGGAAAGCTATACAGTATATCTTTCACAGGAGGGAAGAGAACACTTTAAAAAGTGAAACAGATTCTTTTTAAAGAATCAACTGAACTTCAAGGAAGTGCAACATAACTCAAATTTTAGCTAACATCTATAATAATAATAAAAGCATAATATGCTAATTAGACTGGATGTCCTTCCAGACGAAGCTGGGACTGGGAGGGGAGCGCAGTGTCGGCAGCTGGGGGAAGGAAGGCCTACTCTTGCACTTATTTCATGCATCAGGCCTCTAGTTCTAACATAAAGCTAACAGTTTTCCCTGCTTCAACTCACTTCAGATCTTCAGGCACAACAAATATAGCTATTACTTTTCATTACAGAGAATTAATTGAATTAAATTTGTGCATATGGTCCTCAAATGTATTTGCTACCCAAAACCCATACCACTTTTATTATATGCTATATGAAGAAATTCTTTAAAGTTTTCCAGAACACACGTGTTTAACTGAACTTTTAGTATGATCTTACTATGACAATTAAACTTCGTTGATATGTCTAAAATAAACTACAAGTTTGATTTTCTAAGACACACAAAAATGTAGTGTAGCTCTCAGTCTCACTCAGGAGGTAGGTCCACGGCTCCAGTCCCTGGAAAGTTGGCAGGGTCCTCGGTGCACTGAACATGTTGCACAGTTCAGCCCAAGGAAGGCATTAGCGTGATATAAGAACCAGAACCCTCATGGAAAATGCCAAGGAAAGAACAAGCAAAAAAGATATTTGAGAAGCAGCTAAAGTAGTACATAATGTGGGTAGAATGTGTTGTTAATTGCTCCATTAATCTATAAATGAAGAGACTTACTTAGAATTAACTATGCAAAAGTGTATTAATTTTTAGTGACAGCCGATTACCTTGCTTATAAAGGTGAACTCATTTCACTAGGAAATAAGAATCATAAGAGCAGTCATTCACTCATGTGAATGACAACTATGAAGAAAAAAAAAGAGAAAGAAAGAAAGAAAGAAAGAAAGAAAGAAAGAAAGAAAGAAAGAAAGAAACAAAGAAACAAAGAAAGAAACAAAGAAACAAAGAAAGAAACAAAGAAACAACGAAAAGGACTGGGACTGAATGGAAGCCAGGAAAGGAAAGAGAGAAAGAGAACCTGATCATACCCTGGCTGGGTAGCTCAGTGGGTTGGAGTGTTGTCCTGATACACGAAGGTTTGGGGTGCTACCCAAAGTCAGAGCACATACAAGAAGCAACCAATAAATGTATAGAAGGTTGGAACAACGAATTCTCTCTCTCTCTCTCTCTCTCTCTCTCTCTCTCTCCCTCTCTCTCTCTCTCTCTCTCTCTCTCTTCCTTATACTCTTTCTTGAATCAATTAGAAATAAAAGTCCCCTGATAAACAAGTTCCACTGAAGAAAGTCTTTGCTCCATCCTCTCACCAATCCTCCATTTTAATTTTGTTCTTTCCCCCATAATGAAGTAATTATCACTCATTTATTTATTCATTCAGTATGTTTTGTTCCCAACACTAAGCTAAACACAGTTTTTTAGGGTCAAATGTTGATTCAGTCTCATAATCTCAAAATCAACTAAGACACTTTTCTTTAAGAATTCTTCTCTGAGATGGCAGACAATATTTTGATATTTTACCTGCCTGCAATACTTGAAAGATGCTGCCCTTCACATTACATTATATTAGCACATAGTAAAACTCAATTAATATTATATTAAATATACTTATATTCAAATAAGAAATGTATATATTTATGCATATATGTACAGGGGTAGGCAAAAGTAGGCTTATAGTAACTTGTATGCAAAAATAATGCAGATTGTGATAATCACAATAGCTTTCTTTTAAATATATATTATTGATTTTTTTTTTTTTTTACAGAGAGGAAGGGAGAGGGAAGGGATAGAGAGTTAAAAAAAAAAAAAAAACTGATGAGAGAGAAACATCAATTCAGCTGCCTCCTGCACACTCTCTACTGGGGATGTGCCTGCAACCAAGTATACGCCCTTGACCAGAATCGAACCTGGGACCCTGCAGTCCACAGGCCAATGCTCTATCCACTGAGCCAAAGCAGTTAGGGCACAATAGCTTCCTTTAAAAAAAATATTTGTATTTATTTCAGAGAGGAAGAGAAAGGGAGATAGAAACATTAATGATGAGAGGAAATTACTAACTGGCTGCTTCCTTCACTCCCCCCACTGGAGATCAAGCCCACAACCCAGACACCTGCACCTGACCGGAATCGAATCCAGGACACTTCAGACTGCAAGCTGATGCTCTATCCACTGAGCAAAACCAGCTAGGGCTCACAATAGCTTTCTTAACCCAAAAGAATGTTACTCACAGCTGTAAAACTATGTTTGCCTGCCCCTGTATACACATATTCATACACACATATGTAAATAGATCCTGTATACAGATTCATACACAGATATGACTCAGTATGTTAATAGTCTGAATGACATACAATTTTAACTGAATAAAATATCTATTATTCACATGATTACCATATTTAATCCAGGTTATTCAATGACCACTTCTGTTCTTTATCACCACCCTCTGGCATTTAGCCTTCATTTGATGCTACCTGTCAGTAAAGGCAATGCGATGTGGGCAGGAGTGTGGGCTGGAACCACACTCTTTGGGTTTAAATTCTGGCTGAACCAGTATTTTAGCTGTTTATCCACCATGAAAAATCACTGGCATAAGAGGTGAACAAATTAATTCTAAAGCATTCCTGCCAGAATAGAGATGTTTGTTTATGCCAGCTCTCTTACAAGTGCTTATGGAAATGAGTTAGTACACTGTTGTAAGTAGCATGATTTAATAGCTTGCCCAAGCTGCAGAGCTAAATATGATTGCAGCTGGGACAGAAAGACTCAGAATTCAGAGATATCCTTCACCAATGGAACCTCATCTAAGTGTGTGACCCAGTGCATGAGGAATTCACACCCTGTTGTGAAATTCTGCTACAACCAATTCATGCATGTTTGAGGTCAACAATGTTGCTCTCTAAGTGCACTGAGCGGACAACTCCCAAAGTACATGTCACTTTTGGAAATGCATTAACTCTATGGCCACCAGTTACTACAGTAGGCTCCACATGAATTTCTTGAGGTGCCCCCTGGTGGACTTCCAACAAAGCTGAGTCTATTGAGAGAATCTTGAGAAACAAAAATAGCAATCATTGTGCTACATACTTTACAACTATTATCCCATTCAAACATTCCACTCTTTTCATTTTATAGAGAAGAACATGAAGACCCGGAGAAGTTAAGCAATGTTCTTACTAGTCATGCAGCTAGTAAGCAGTGGAGTAGGGATTAGAACCCAGGTGTATTTAACTCCCAAATCTCCACTTTTGAATGTTGTTTGACTTCTGTGTTCTCAGAGAGAGTCAGTCAAGTCCACTGGGAAAGGTCATTCCACCTCCTGGCTCTCATGCTCTTTGGGCAACTGTGTCGCCAGTGTTCAGGCTCCAGGTTCTCCTTGGTTTCTGAGAGGGGCTAAAACTCTGGTTTTTGAATGGAGAAACAGCTAGCTGAGCCAGGGTTTATAATCTCTTTTGTCATCTGCAGTGCCCTGCACCGGAGTTTTTTAAGAGCCTGCGTTCTTGTTTAACTGATTGAAACAAAAGTTAAATGGGTAGTCAGAAAGCTTTCTGGATTTAATAAGTCAAAGTCTTTTTTGTACTTCATGGACTTCTGGATATGCCCTGTTTTCCAGATCACCTTGAAAAAAATTTCCTTCATAGCACATTACTATTAATGAGTACTTAAGGCCTATTTTTCTAGTCAATGCACAGTGGGATAATTTATGTAGAATTCCAGATATTTGAAAAACAATGCAGAAGATAACCGTAGGACTTCGTTTCTGGATAGTTGCTACCTCTCTCTGGTGATTTCATCTAGTCCTGTTACTTTAATTATCACCCACATGCTGGTAATTGCCATACATCTCCAGTTGGATGTAATGATTAGCATGTTCAAGGTGAATTCCTGATTCTCCCTCCACAAATTTGTTCCAGTCACAATATTCTCCAGATCAATTAACAGAAACTCCATCTTTCCGATCACTCAGAGCAGAAACTTTGAAAGCATATACTTGAGTTGTCTTATTTGTCTCTGTTACCCTGGTCTGAGCCTTGATCATTTCTCAAGTGAGCCACTGTGATAGCCTCCTAACTAGTTTTCCTACATTCTGTTGGAAATGCAGTAACAGAATAGTCCTATTAAAATAAAAAGTGGGTCATGTGACTCCTCTGTTTCCAACCTTCCAATATTCTCCCATCTCTCTCAGAGTGAAACCAAAACCCCTTCAAAGGCTCTAGGCAATGTGCTTCCACCACACTGTACTATGCCTCCCACCGCAGCTCCTACCACTTTCCTTGGTTCACTCCCCTCCAGCCCCAAAGAACTTCTTGTTCCTTGGACCAGGCACACTCTCACCAGAGTCTTCACACTTGCTGCGGCTTGTCTGGGATCCTCTCCTCTACATACCCCCATGGATCACTGTTCACTTCTTCCATTCTGTACCAGTGTTACCCTCTCAGTGAGCTTGATCTCACCTTTCTTTTACTTAAAATTGCAACACTCTCATCTTGATACTGCCTATCCTTTTTGGCTGCTTAATTTTTATTTATAGAATGTTTCCCCTCCAAACAAACTTTATAGTTTGCCTGCTTGTTTTATTTATTCTCAGTTGCTCCCACTAGGATATCAGCTTCATGAGGACAGGAAAGGGCTTTTGTTTTTTATTTACTGCTCTATCCTAGGGGCTAAATACAGGACCCTTTACATAATCAATGCTCAGTAAAGATTTATTGAATAAAAGAATAAATGCATTATATTCCCACTGACCCAGTCTGATGGCACTGTGAATAGAAAATTGTACCTGGTATTTGAACTATTATAAGATCAATCTCTTTCATTTTCCCACCAAATATCAAATCTTCCTGATTTTGTTGGAATCACCTAGACTTCACCAAATGACTATAAACAAGGAAAGCTTGGGATATCTGATCTAGAGAATATGAGTAAACTTCAGGAGATGGCAACGAGGAAGTCTAGACTTCATGAGTTATTATCAGCTGCCAACCTGTGGTAACAAACAGCATTTTCACCCACCCAGCCAGCCTCATCACTACTCTATACCTGCAGAGCCTAATTCTGGTGTTCACATAGTTGAGGCCATGTGTTCTCTCTAGCTCTGGCATGATTGATTTAATCAGCTGCTCTTATACTCCTGCCCCTAATTGTATGAGACATGAGCATGACACCTAATTTTAGCCAGTGAAACTTGGGGAGCTTTTGAGAGAGGTTTTGTTTTTTCTTTGCTAAAGATAGGGTTCTTGTGTCTTACCTCCAGTGATGTGAATTTGGTAGATCTGAGTAGAGGTTCAGGAATTTACATTTTTTAAAAAATATATTTTATTGATTTTGTACAGAGAGGAAGGGAGAGAGATAGAGAGTTAGAAACATCAATGAGAGAGAGTCATCGATCAGCCGCCTCTTGCACACCCCTTACTGGGGATATGCCCGCAACCAAGGTACATGCCCTTGACCGGAATCGAACCTGGGACCTTTCAGTTCCCAAGCCGATGCTCTATCCATTGAGCCAAACCGGTTTTGGCAGGAATTTACATTTTTAACACCTGCTTAATTCTGATGCAGAAGGTCCAGGAACCATATATCGAAAAATAGAAAAACGTACTTCCCTAATAGGTTAATGACCTAGAGCTGCTCTAACACAGATATCTGTCTGTTAGGATGCAGGCTAGAGTACTCACTCAGTACCATTACCAGTCAATTCCCCTAGGAACTTCAGGAACACATCTCATTTTCCTCTACTCTTTAGCCTAGAGTGCACCCACTTTTTAGCCCAAGTTACAAATT